TGCCTCACCCGGGAAGAGAGCAATGATGGTGCCAACTTGGGCCAGTGAAGCAACGTCCTCCACAACTAGATTGAAGAACAAAAAAAAAAACGACAGCAACTTGTCTGTTCCCCTTCCCCCAATTTCCCAGTGCTGTTCCCATCCCCCAATTCCCCAATAAAAATCTTAAAAAAAAAGCCATACGAAGCCCCGATTCGGGGCTCAGTCTTACAGGCTGTGTCCTTTGGTCTCGTTCCTATCTGACCTTGGTCTCATGAGCACTTATTTATAATCTGTGTCGCCCCTCTCATGTCCCATTTGCCCTTGCCACGCTGGACGTGACAAGCTCTTAACCAATGCGCCACTCGGCTGGCCTGTTTTTGCTTTTTGATTCCACATATAAGTGAAACCATATATTTGTCTTTCTCTGCCTTATTTCACTTAGCATAATACCCTCTAGATCCATCCATGTTGTCACAAATCGCAAGATTTTATTCTTTATTGTGTATAATATCCCATTGTGTGTGTGTGAATGCACACACACACACACACACACCCCTCTTTATCTAGTCATCTATCAATGGACAACTAGGCTGCTTCCATATCTTGGCTATTGTAAATAATGCTGCAATGAACATACGGGTGCATATATCACAAAAGGACAAATACTCCAATTTGATTCCAATTATATAAGGTAATTAGAGTACAGAAAAATTCAAAGAGATAGAAAATAGAATGATGATTGCCAGGGGCTGGGGGTAGGGGGAATGGGAGTTAATGTTTAATGGCTAAAAAGTTGCTAGTTAGGAAGATGAAAACGTTCTGAAGATGGATGGGGTGACGTCTGCACAGCCATACAAATGTACTTAATGCCACTGGACTATACACTTAAAAATGGCTACAATGGTAAATTTAATGTTATGTATACTTTACCACAATAAAAAAATAATTATGAAATATATGTTGATTAAAAGGAGACAGCGCAAGCGCAAGCCCAGGATTAGTGGAAACTGAAATATCAACAATGTTGGGTATGGGCAATACAGCATAGTGGGTTTGGGTTGGAATTCCTCAGCCAGGCTGCTTAGGTCAAATCCCAGCTCTGCTATTGTTCAGCTTCTTTGTACCTTCAATCCCCATCATTTGTAAAACAAGAATTATGATTTAAGATATTTAAAGTGTTTAGAATAATGCCTGGTATATAAAAACTTCTGGGTGTTAGCTTTTATTGTCATTAGAAGTGAGCTATTTAAGGTTGATTTTATAAATGATAAATATTTCATTTATTCTTCTTTTGCCAGAACTATCCACAATTGTCCCTAAAGCCCGCCTTTGTCACAAGATCCCCTGTCAACTGCTTCTTCTATCATAGGTAACTCCTGATTATTTGGAGTGGGGTGGGGCTAGTTCTAGGGAACACAGCCATACTAACTTATTCAAGTTACTAGTTACTACTCAAGTTACTAGTTCCATATAGGTACAGAAAAGAATACTTGGAACTCTAAAGTATTATGTTTCTGGTGCTGTAGTTGTCTTTTCTGGAAAATATTAATTTAAACTTTTGTTTTTGCATTCTTTCATTTCCATAATAAATTTCTCTGTTATTTTGGCTACATGTCTGATTCTGAAGAAAGTTTCAATTCAAACATCACCAACTGTGTTTTCTTCAGACATTTCTTCTCGCTTGCTTTCTCAGGTGGCTGATTGTCAAGCCTCATCCTTTCTGGCCTTTCTGGGCCACAGATGAATCTTTCTTTTATAACAGCATCAACTGCCTTTTCTAGCTTTCCAGTGCTTTTTCCCCACTTCGAGTGTTGGTTCTACCTTTGACTGCAAAACACAGGCATCACCCATGGTGGTAACCAGTTTTCTACATTTTTTTTTTTTATTCAGTCCTGGCTGGGGAACACATGAAATCTCATGGGTTCATCTATCATTTTCTTTTTGATTACTTTAATCTTCCTCTTCTGAGTTAACCCCATAATTCCAGTAGTAGTATGACCAGTTCATTAATTTCAGCTCTTCATCTGCCATCTCTCAAAACTGTGATCTGTGCCAATCATTGTTCCAACATTAATTCCCATGAAGCATAAAGGTGTATATATATATATATCCATTCTCTTCCTGAAGAATCTATAATGGTTCTGACATAATACTGAAATCAGTCTTAGTCTCTCCCAGAAACCATTAAGCTACATTAACCCACAAGCTTTTCTCCTTCTCTGATTTCTATGGTACCTATATTATATGTTAGGCTCTCCTCACCAACAAGTCACCACCTGGCAAAGTTTTGGCAATCCACTATCTATTTTGTTGCATGGCTAAGAGTTTATATGTTTATAAGAGTTTATAATTTTATGCCCATCAAGACAGCAACTTCCCTAAAAGAGAAATTATGCGTACAATTTCTTTCATGTTCTACAAATGTTATAGGGCATATATTTAAGAATTTATGTAAAGAATCATTTAAACTAACCAGAATTGAAAGCGGTATTGTTATTGAAGCAGAGAGGAAGGAAAGAGAATGAAAATTCCACTGAAATGGCAGAAAAGTGGAATCTAGGAGTAATATGGCAGCAACTTAAGGGCTCTGGCCAGCTACAGAAGCAGAAAGAACTATTTATCTAATAGCAACTATTAAACGTATTATTTATTTAATATTTACTAGGGTTAATGTCCCATCTTTTCTTACCTACTGGTAAGACAGTCTTAATATTTATTACTTCAAGGAGGCTTTGTAATCCAAATACTGGCCTGAGAAAAGTTGTTACTACATAATGCTACAAAATTAAAATTTCATCTGAGACTAATTTCAATGTTAATTGGGTTAAATTATTTCTTAAAATGACATATATATTATATATGCAATATATGAATAGTTTTATATATGAATGGATATGTATAAATGGATGGTTTCCAGTTCATTAAAACAAGTCATATTAAAACTGGACATTTTTATAGGAAAATATAGCTTTAAAACACATTTGGGTGAAAAAATTAGATGTTTTTCATAAAAAAAGGAAAAATATTTTTATTACATTATAATATCTTTGAGTAGATATATTTATTTAACTTGTTAGGGGAAAAGCTTGCTATAATCCTTTATAAAAGGACACTTGCTAAATGGCAGGAACTTATAAAACAACACTTAAATTAGTTCATTAAAATTGGACAAAATGTTTGAGTTAAAAAATAAAACAAACAAGACTAAAACAATGCTGACAAAGAAAATCAGAAGATGAGAAATACCAGATTAGATCTTGCAGTGTAGTATATTTCTTCTGAACTGTCCAAAAAACCATCATTGTCGGGCTGTTTAGCAGAGACCAAGAAACCCAAGTTATTTACACTTAAGACTAAAAGCCACAAATTCACAAAGGGAAACTTTCATAAGTGAAGTTAAGTCCTGCTAATGTAATTTTATTAAGGCAAAGTCAAATCATATTAAGAAGCATCTAAAAAAGCAACATTGAAACAACTTTGCATAACGCAGTTACTAAATTAGTATAGAATTTAAATACATGCAATGCCAACTTAAAAAGAGAAATAGCAAATCAAATCAAACTGCCTTAACAAAATACAATTAGCATGTATAAAAATCATGACTACTTTTTATTCTTAACCGTCTCCATCCTGTACATAAATGTCAGGCTTTCGTATTATATGATCCTATAAAGCATTTTGTTTTAACAATCCTTTCCTCCATGCTGGTAAACTGAATTAGAATAACTCCAAAAATTAAATGCTAAGGCTCCCTTTGTATGCTTTTGATCAACTGGGTTAAAATAAGAAGAAAGTTCCCACTTCTATCCTTATTACTTATTAACGTTACTTTCTTCTCATTATTAAACAGAAAAGAAAAAAATGTAACATAATCTGGAGCTCTGGCAAAGTAATTTCATTTGGATTAATTGTTTGTTTTTTAAGTCTTGTGTTTTATTCTTCCACAGAATATTAAGATCTCCAATATTTGCAAAGCATTTTGTTTCTAAGACTGACTGCATCTAATATATTACCATATATCTAGGAAGGAGTATATAAAACATCAACAACAAAAAAATGTCCATACAGTTAGCAAGCTTTAAATGAATGACAAACTTGATCTAGTATGTGTGCCTAGTCTCACCTCAGTTTTAGTTCCCCAAACAGATGTGACTCTACCCTGATGTTTAAAAAACTAGCTTATACTCTTAAAAGGCTGCCCATAAATTTAGTGAGAAGATGTGCTTTTATTAGTCCAACATTTTAGTTTACAACCATGGCATTTATCCTAATAAACACATACGTAAAAAGCTGCTCAAAACCCGAACAATGAAAATGAAAAAAAATTAAAGGACCAGCATTAAAAACATTTAATCAGAGAATGGTGAAACTAGTAAGTTTCTCCTAAATAATTTTGAAAATATTCGATCTCAGCAACACAGATTTATTTATTCTGAATTTCAGAATTACTTACCTTTCTATTTCCCCAAATGCTAATACTGAAAATATTAGTAACTAACTTTTTAAGTCAGTTACAATATATCATAAAGACTAATTAAAAACATTTATTTTCAGTGTTAACATTCCAAGACTACACTACTTACAAGTTCATGATGTGGTTCTGTCTCCTTCCTTAAAGGTGGATCAAATTTTACTTGGCCAACTGAAAAAGAAAAAAAGCAAAGCTATGATCTCCTTCTAAATTCTTTTTGTTTGTTTGTTTTGTTTCTATATTCTTAATAATATAATATTAAAAGTTACTCCATGGCAAAACACATTTAATTTTACTATCTACCATACATTAATCACAATCCAAATATTTAAATAAAGAATCTGTTAGCCAGAAAGAGCCCAAGAAAGTCTAAGCTCTTAAAGCATAACCTGTTAAATAGGCCTTTTCCATAGTAAAAAAGAAAAAAAAGAAAAAAAAGATAATTAGCAGAATTAGGTGTATGTTATACTCAGGATCTAACTTGCTACTTCATTGTGACCCAGCATAAAATAGACAATCTTAACTGGGGACTTAGGTGGGCAGACAGCAATTGAGGAGGAGTACTTTTGGAAGCCAGCCTGTAAGATGGCCTCTAATGGTTCCTGTCTCCTCATGATGATCGTAAACTTGTGTAGTCTCTTCCCACATCCCCAGGGTTGGTTTATGTAACCAGATAAACAGGGCAGAGTGATGGTGTATCACTGCCAAGGTCAGGCTTCCGTCATGGGCTCTGTCTATTGGATCCCAGGCTCTGGGGCAGTCCTGCTGCGAGCAGCCCCCTAGGCAGAGGCCTATGGGTAGGAGCTGAAGCCTCAGACTAACAGTATGCGAACAAGCTCGGAAGCAAACCCTCCAACACAGGCAAGCCTGCAGGGGACTGCAGCCCAGCTAACTTTCTGACTGTAATGTCACGACAGGCCCTGAGCCAGAACCACCCAGCTAAGCTGTCCTGAATTCCTGACCCTCAGAATATGTGTGAAATAAGTGTTTATTGTTTTAAGCTGCTAAACTTGGGGATAATTTGTTATATTGGGCTGTCGGGAAAGTCAAGACGTATTTTGTCTATGTTTTTCTTTTTTTGCTTTTCTTTTTTTGAGCTAAGCCATCCTGCCACCTGTTGGCAGCTCAATGGCAGCTCAGCTCGGGCTGGGAATCGAATGGGCGACCCTGCTGCTCAGAGCTCGCACTCTTGAGCGAGCTCTTAACCAACTGAGCCACTCGGCTGGCCCTATGTTTTTTAAAGGTCATTTATTTATATAAAGAACAAAAATCAATCAATGATATATTGCCCGTTTTGTTCGATAACCTTTTGCCATCTCTCACTGAGCTTCATAATTCCTCGTTCATAGAAGGACATGCCTTTATTTGCGAAAAACTGAACAAGGTGCTGATTTACAGCCTCATCTGAATTGAACGTTTTTCAGGAGTTTTGAAGAGAGTGCAACAAGTGGAAGTCTGACCACACAAGGAGTTTTGAAGAGAGTTAAACAAGTGGAAAGTCTGATGGCACAAGGTCAGGCGAGTATGGCGGGTGTGGCAACACATCCCATCCAAGCTCCAATCATTTTTAACAGGTGATCAAACTTGTGTGTGGTCTCGCGTTGTTGCGATGGAACACAACTCCTTTACAATTAAGCTCTCGACGTTTCTGGATGATGGATTCGTTCAAACTGTAAAACCCCTGACAGTACACATTCGAATTGATTGTTTGGTTCCTTGGTAGGAGCTCGAAAAACACGACACCTTTAAAATCCCACCACACTGAGAGCATAACCTTCCTCTGATGAATGTCTGCTTTCGATATCGTTTGAGGCGAATCATCATGTCGGGACCAAGACCGTTTGCGTACCACATGGTTGTGAACAATCACTTCTCATCACCAGTTATCAGTCGCTTAAAAAAAGGATCGTTTTCCTCACGTTTAATGAGCATATTGCAGATGTTTATATGTGCCGTCAAAAGAACTTCTTTGAGTTCATGCGGAACCCAAATATCAAGCTTGCTTATGTATCCCAGCTTCTTCAGGTAATCGTGAATGCTTGAATGATGGATGTTCAATGTTTCTGCAATCTCTTGTGTCGTGTAACGTCGGTTTGACTCGATCAATGCCTTTATTTTGTCATCATCAACCTCGGTGGGCCTCCCTGACAGAGGAGCATTTTTGAGATCAAAATCACCAACACGGAATTTCGTGAACCATCGTTGGTACTAACGTTCTTGGAGAGCATTGTCACCGTAAACTTTATGCAACTTTTCACAAGCTTGATGCGCGTTCTTCCCTTTATGGAAGTAAAACAGTAAAATATGGCAAAAATGCACAGTTTGGTCTACCATCTTCAACTTGTTGTAAAGTCTCCAAAACTCAACCAAATCGCTCAATTTTATTTTTAAGAATGAAGCTAGAACTGTCAGCTGTCAAATGACATAGCAATAAAATAGATGCGAATGACTCTGGTACTTCCAAAAATGAACTAGTGCCATCTGTTGCAAACATGCGTCATGACTTTTCCAACAACCCAATATAAACTAGCTAGAGCAGACATAAATCAACTATACTACAAGTCATCTTTTTCCTTGCTATTCTAATGGATTCAATGTTTCAACCACCTTTATCTTTTCATTTCTATATATCATTATCTGCTTTTATAACCTGGGTACAGCATTAAAGACCACTGAGATAAAAGCAAAGGCACAAATATAAAGCATTAAAAAGAAGAAAAACAGACAGTCCCAAATACATTACAGTTCAACGAGTAAGAGCTTCAGCCAAAACAGTAATTCTCAATCAAGGTAGGGAAATGAGTGAAACTGCAAAGCGTAATCACTTTTAGAACTGTTTAGATTTTAGCTTAGTGTATGATTGTGAATGTTAATACCAATTATAGCAGACTATGAGATCTGAATACTTAATAGGAGGCATAAGTAAAAAGGTTGAGAAACACAGCCCTATAAGATCACCTATTGAATGGCTCTCATCTATGGTCTACACTTATCATCAAATAGCAACTTCATCATCAAATAGTAACTTTTTTTTTTTAGCTGAACCATCCTGCCACCTTTTGGCAGCCCAGTGGCAGCTCGGCTCCAGCTGGGCATAGAACCGCTGTTGCTCAGAGCTCAAACTCCTGAGCGAGCTCTTAACCAACTGAGCCACTCAGCCAGCCCTCAAATAGTAACTTTAATAAAGTTACATGAGGACAGTTTTGTGCATCCCTCTGCCTTGTGTTATTATCACAAGTGACTGTATAATCACTGAGTGCAGGGGTGCAGGGATGTTCTCTTAGAGTAACTGTCATAACAAGCACTGAACCCTGACTGTAGCAGGTACTCAGTACCCCTGTATTCTGTCCACAGAGCCTGACTCTGTATTCTGTGGGTGTACCTTCCCACAATGGGGGGCCCCTACAGCAAAGTCCCTATGGAGGTTCATTCTTCACGCCTTACACTGGTGTCACTCTTCTGTTCTCTTCAGATTCCCTAAAGTTATGACAAGTTTCTGCCACAGGATCTTCCTGTTCAAATAATTGTTGGTCAATTATTTGAAGCAGCACAGGGCTACAGTGCTGTTTATGATATTCTTAATAATGTCAAAAATTTCTACTTATCTGTAATTGTCTATTCGTCTTGATCTGTTTCCTCTACCATCTCTTTGAAAGTATGTCTGTCAAGCCACACACCATAAATTTACATTTTAATATCCACATGAAAACTACTTTTTAGCTTCTCTGATCAGCTCCAACATTATCACTCGCTGACCCTTCATTAGCCATTATGAGTCAAAACTCATCCTACTGTGGGAGACAAGCAGAGCCCCAGAAGGATGTCTTCTTAAAGCAAGTCTTTGCTCATCACATATAACTGAAGGCAGAGGGGGCCTCCTAAGAGGGAAAGAGTAACGTCTTTCTGCAAATGAGTCAGTTTTTACATATATGTTGGTTGCATGGAGAGATACCACATAATTATAAACATAAAACATTATCAAGAGGAACAAATACATACAATTACTAAAATAAATTATATAGTCTGTCTTTATAGTCAACAGCATTACTATTATATATATCTCACATGAAATCATAAAACATCCTAAGAAATCAGATATTAGAACATTGCATAATATTTAAAAGCCTCTCATATCAAACCCACACATTATTAAAAATGGTTTCAATCCTGTTGCTACCTCAACTATGTTTTTCTAAAATACTAAAGGGGTATGACAACTTTCTTACTGACAAACAGGCAAGAATGGAAGATGTCTCTCATGTATTACCTGCTCCACCAAAATGAGGGCACTATCAGAATTTCAGGAAAATTGGGGTATAGGACTCTAGTTTCAAAGAGCATATGCATGCATATACAGTTAGGAGTTAAGAATCACTCATATTAGTAAAGGATGATCCAGAAGTAACTGTACTTTGCAATAAAGGGCCTGAAAAATATAATTTTTTAATAGAATCAGATAACAAGATAAAAAGCACTTTAAATTAGATTTTCAGCAGTATCAAACACTAAATTGTGTAAATCAACCACAATCTCTGATCGCCTTTTGTATTATTAAAGAAATGACAAAGACATCTTGCCATTACTTCCTGTACATTAAAAAAATAATAATGGGAAATGCGCATGTACTAAGGTTGCCATTTTCAGAAAAATACTTTTGGGTGACATTAGCAAATTTAAATCATGTGACTTCAGAGGGAGCTTTAAGGGTAACATTATAAGGTCACACAACTAATTGTTGGCAAACAAAGTACCAAATCCCAGTCCCAGGCTTTTTGTACATGCATCATACTTTCTTTCAAGAGTTTCCTCATTTTAAGAGTATTTCCAGGTAGCACCAGCACAAAACTGCCCAAGAACTTAATATACAGTGTATGCACTACCATAAAACATCAAAGGAAGCTTCACAAAGGATTTCCGGTTTAAAGGCCACACCAGTGTGCTGAGGTGGTTTCTGAAAGGGAGCAGTGTTTGTGACAGACCAATAGGCTAGAAGTCAACAGACCCAGGGTTTGCTGTTAACTTAGTGTATGACTCCACCCCACATTCTATACACTAATAGAATGAAATCTATTCATTCTTCATTTCATTTTTGTTTTTTATTAAACGGTAACAGTGTCTGACCCTACTTAACTTTTAAGATGAAGAGATGGATTCATCTTAATTAAAGTATGAAATGTATTATTATCGTCATTACCAATCTAGCCAAAAATTGGGAACAGTTTCTTAACAGTAACTACCTTAAGTTATCGTATTACCTAATGTCGCTAAGGTCATTTTGGATTTCAGGTCCCTAAGGATAAATCTTCAGCTCACAGAGAAGTGTTATCATAAGCCTGATTGCACTAAAATAGCATTCTAAGTCATAGAAAATTAAGGCTTCCAAGGAGAAAAGAAAGAGTTAAAGCACTATGATTCCAGAGATTCCTGTTGACAGTTTATCACTGGTTAGTGACATTACTGGATTCCATGTGAATGAATCAATGGTCTGTCTCAGTGAGCACATAGCTTGGTTGTCCATAAGAATTACATGACAAGTGATTTTTAAAGGTAGATTCCTAGGTTGACCCAAGACCTACTGAATCAGGATCTGTGGAGAAGTGGTGCCTGGGAATCCATTTTTAGAGGTTCTCAGGTACTCAGATGCTAAGCCAGTTTGCAGACCTCTATCTCTCCTTGATTCTCAAAGTACGGCACTTGCACCATCAGCATGTATTGGGTTGTCAGAAAAGTCATAACATATTTTTTCTGTTTTTCGTTGCAAAAATGCGTCATGACTTATCCGACAACCCAATATATAACCAGGGAGCTTGTCAGAAGTAAAGAACCTCAGGTCCCATCCCAGATCTACTGAATCAGAAATTGCATTTAAACAAACTCTGTGGGTGAGTTACACACACATAAAAGTTTAAGATGCACTGCCCTGATTTATTCTATTCTGACCATTTTAGGAATTTTGCACCTCTTTCCAAACAATAA